GTTATTGCTTCCTGCCAGTATGTAGCCTTCTCCCCAGTCCATCGTCCAGTCCATGAGATCAGTAGCAAAGCTGGCACCTCCACAGGCCCGCCTCAAACCACTCGAGCTTGGCCCGGCTAAGCCCCTTGCAGTCCTTGACGTTGAGCGCCTCCAGAGCATTGCAAGCCGTCTTCATAACCAGCAGGCTCCGGTCCGTCACGCGCCCGCACCCGGCCAGAGACAGCGTCTTCAGAGACGAGCCTTTGGCGAGTACTAGAGCCACCATGCCGTCATCCGTCACGTCGCAGCCGGCGAGGCTGAGCTCCTGCACTGCCTGCGGCCCCTGAGCAACGTATCGAATCCCCTGGTCCGTGACGCTCGCACACCCGTCCAGCGTGAGCAACCCGAGAGAGGGGCAAAAACTCGCTACCGCAGCGAGTGCCCGGTTCGTCAGCCTCGTACAACCGGACAGGTTGAGAGAAGTTAAGCCGGACCCGCTCGCTAACAGGAAAGGGACCAGGGACTCGTCCGAGAGAGCCGTAAAGCCGCTGACGTCGAGCTCCAGGAGACAGGAGCTTCCAGATCCAGAGAGGCTAGCCAAAAGTCCGGCTCCCACTCCAGTGCAGTTGACGATGCCCAGAACTTTAAGAGACCGGGACCCGCTCGATAACAGTGTCGTCGTCATCGTCGCAGCCGATGCCGTAAAGGCGCACTTCTCTAGGTGGAGGCCCTCCAGGAAAGTGCAGTCCTTCACGAAAGTGAGAAGCTTGCTCTCGTCCAGCGACGTGCAGTTGGCAAGAGACAAAAACTTGATCTCCTTGCTCGTTTTCCCAACGGAGTCTAGGAGACTGTCAGTGAGGCCGGGGCATGCCGAGATCTGGAGATGCTTGAGCTGCCCCATGCCGGAACTCTTGCCAAACAAAAAGAAGCCTTCCGAGCTTATCTTCTCGAGCTGCAACAGCTTGAGCTTCTGGAGTGAGCCGCCGTGTTCCCCAACCGCAACGAGACCTTCGTCGTTGATACTGAGCTTCTCGAGCTTCATGGCCTTCAACACCTTGCAGCTCGAAACAACCGCAGTGACGCCAACGCCCCCGACTTTGTTGCACCTGGAGACCGAGAGGCACGAAAGTTGAGAGCAGCGCTTCCCCACGGCCTGCAGTCCTTCGTCGCCAACTTTGTCGCAGCCATCCAGGGTCAAACTTGAGAGGAGAGGACAACCGGCCGCAATTGCCCGAAGAGCGGCATCTCCAAAGCCAGGACAGTTCATGATGTTGAGAACTTTGAGCTGCGGGCATCCCTTGCCAATCCAGCTGAATCCCACGTCGTCGATGTTTGGGCAGTCCCACACGGAAAGAACTTTGAGGTTCCCGCAGCAGATGCCAACAGAGGACATGCCAACGTTGCTCACGGCCTTGGACAGCTTCTGCCGAGGACCACCCTTGATGATAAGTTTCCCAAGGCCACCTCTAGACTGGGTTCCGAGAGCAACCACAGCCAGTCTAACATCTGTAGCTCGCTTTCCTTCCAGGATCCTCTTTAGCTCGTCGCCACTGCCAAGAGAAAGCTCTTGCTCGTCGTCCTTGATCTCGCTCGAGTGTAAGTGGCTCTGGAGCATCAGCCAGCGTGTGCACACGGAAGCACACGCGTAGCGATCGGCTGGAGCGGCCACGTACCGAAAGACTTCAACAAGGAGCTCCTCCGGAAGCGCATTAATGAGATCCTTGGGCTGGTACTTCTTTGCTGCCGGGACCGCTGTTGGTGGTGGAGTTGGAAGGAACCTCTTGGGAGCATTGTAAATTTCAGTGTTGCCAATCTCGCTCAGTTTCCTCCTCCGCCCGGTCTGGAGGCTCTGAAGGCCCCGGATCAGCTGCGAGCAAAGCTCCTCCTTGCTCAAGAACGCATACGAGTTCTCGTGAAGGAAAGACTTCTGGAACAAGTGGTTGAAACGGACATCTTCCAGCTCCATGGACATGGCTTCGCGACTCAAGAATCAACAGGCCTTTGGAAATGTCCTGCGTGCAGCATGCTCACTAAATGAGCGCGAGAAGGAAAAAAAAAAAAAACCTCAAGCACTTACACAATAGAACTCCCAGACCCATATGAAGCGAAGAAATGCGCCAATCTCACAACCTCGCCTAGCAATTTCACTGCACCAACACGCGCGTAAAGCCAAAGAACACTAAGATCCAGCCGCAAAACCCTAAGATCGAAGCAAATCCCCTCTAGAGGCCGCAACAATCATCCACATACCTTCTCGCTCGCGCCGTGCCGTGCCGCGCCGCGCCGCGCCCGCGCCGCTCTGAGATCGAGAAGCTCTCACCACCCCCTCTCGCTCGCTCGCTCTCCTCGCTCGCTCCAATCAATCGCCGCCTCGCTCCCTCTCGCTCACAATAAAAACCCTCGTCCCCCTCACCCAGTCCCTCCCCCCTCTCCTCTCGCGCACAGCAAAGATTCACCCCCCTTGCCCTCCCTTACACCTGGCGGATATTCGCCCGCCCTGGGCATATTCCGCTCCGTCGGGACGGAGACGGCGAGATCGACGGCCCTGGTTGGATTCGCGTTATCTACGACACCCCTTAGTTAATGGTTCAATGAATCCAGATAATATTTTCATCAACAAGGGGGCACATCCCTTTCAATCCGGATCTCTTTCTCTTTCCCTTTCGCGTATAAATTTTACTCTTTCTTTTTTTGCCTCTTTCGCTTCTTTGTTAGCTGGACGCATCATGCGAGCCTTTGAATCCAGCGCTGCAGTGGTTCTCATGTTTTGGCAAATACAATGCACAAGCACTCACCAGTCTGCGTTTCTGGTCTTCCATCACAGTTTTCGTCGCAAAGTTTACGGCGGCTCCACTCCACGCGCTTTTCCACCAACAAATCTCTACTTTGTTCATTCTTGCTTTCGTTTTGTTTTTTATTTTCTTTCGAGTCACTGCTGCGGCCTGCAGTGCTGCAAGTGTTTTGCTTAGATTTGAGCAAGTAAAGAAACGAACTTACAGATCATCGCAGGCCACAGAGTTCCAGGAAGTACGTCACGAAGGAGACAACTCCCAGCTGACAAGTTAATCTCGCCCACGAGCTTGGCTGCTGGTGGAGCTCCAAGAGATCGAGAGCGTTGCGAGAAGTTAAGGCCTGCAAGTAGGAAGAGAAACAAAAACCATCCCCAGAGTTACTAGATGTGGTTAGCATAAGAGAAAAGCAGCAGCCATTTGTTTTTTCTCGATTCCCTTATTTTACGCGGCTCAAATGCGAAAAACCCATTGGTTTCACTCAGTGGTAACCCCCACAGATCCTTCCCAAACATATAAAACACCAGCCCCACTAGATATCTGCATAACTTGGGCCGGGTGTGACTAGCTGCAAAACAGTCCCCTGTGAAATAAACAGCAATCCATCGCGAGAGGAAGCTTACTTTGTTCTCCAGCACTGTGCTGTCGGGGATCACGATTTTATCGGCCTTGGCATCGATGACAACCTTACCCTGTGCGACATCAAGTTGCAAAAAAGTAAAAATAAAATCCTCTCGGTACCTTTAGCGTGATATCTCTACCAAACCATACATCTCCCACCACTTTCAAGCTCTCCAGATACACGATGCTGGGAATGGCCTTGAACCTTTCCATGAAACTTCCAACCTGTGCGGCGATAACAAGTTGGCAGACAATCCAAAGGGACATGAGATTGAAAAACCTTTTTAAACTCGGGACCAAGATCAATTATCGGATTGTGCGGGGATTTTCTCGCAGGGTTCCGAATCATGGAGCCTTCCTTGACTGTGTACAGGTCGGACTGCAGAATTATCTTGTAAGTTACGTCTAACGTAAAAATATAAGCACATATACCTGGACCAACAACAGATCCGACGTTGCTTTGACAGGCAGAAACCTCGACCTCGGAACGTTGATACCAATGGCATTGTCAAAAAACTGCAGTAGCGCACTTCATATAAAATCAAATGCCTTTTAAAACACGTACTCGTATTGCAGCTCCTGCTGCAGTCTCAAGTTGTAAAACCTTGACGCCACTCACTTCCTGTACCAAGCACAGCATGAAAACTGATTATGGCTTGCAATCGTACCTTGGGGTTCGGAATGATTTCCATTTGCAGGGCCCCTTCCAAGACCAATCGATTGATGGCTTTCAAGTTCACCCACCTATTATTTTAAAGGATGACAAGCGGCAAAAAAATGCATCGTCCTTACAGATTATTGGTGTTGAAGATCTTGAACTTGTCGATGGACTTAAATTCACCCACCTACAATACAAAGTGACATTAGCCAGTGTCAAGGATTTAAAAGGCACTTACATGCTCTTCAGGGACTTGCGCGATTTCTAGTAACTGCAAGTTTGATCGACATGAGCAGCCATATTACATGCTGACAAAAACTTACTTGTACTCTGCCTTCATAAGATATCAGTGTTCCACCTTTCACATCGGCCAATGTTTTTGGCGTAACCTGAGTAAAAACCTTGATAATGAAATGCAGAAATTTGGAGACGTGTTTACCTCCATGCAGTACTGGTTCTTATGCTTAACGAGATGGTTTAAAATTTCTGCAAAACGTCAAGGATCTCAAAGATTTTACAAACAGAAACTGAAGGATACTGAGGTCGACTGTGGCTCCCAAATTATCGGCGTTTGCTATAAACACGTATTCTTTGCCCTGTCAGGCACTACATGGAGCTCCGATGACGAAAGTGAAAGAAAATACCTGTGCGACCAGTTTATCAAGAACCTTACTGTTGACAAGAGCCGGGAAAACGTCCCCGTGCCCAGGAGGATACCTGTGAACCAAAAACTTACAAATGCGCAGAGATTGAACCATTTCAATGTACCAGCCGTCCTTGTCAGTCTTGCCTTTTGATGGCCAAGGCATCACGTCTTCGGAAACGATACGTGGGTATTGGCTCTAAAAGAACATGAATGTGAAGACGCACGTACTTTGTGTACATACCTGCTTAAAAGTGATAATATCCAAGCTTGAATCCTTGTACTTTTTCAATATCTGCAAAAACCGAAATAAAAAACATGGAGTTTTCCACGCTCCAAACACACCTGTTCTGTATCTTCATCTGTGTTGAACGAGTTAAGAAGCACCAAAGGCACGTTCGAGCCATATTTGCGGTTAAGAACCTGAACAAGCGCAGACGTGGTTTTCTAAAAAAGAAGAGAACGAAATCGATACTACCTCTAGCTGCTGCACAATCAAGTCGAGGAACGTCTGACCGTCTCGCACTTCGATGACAGATCTGCCAGAAAAATTGGAAGCAAGCATCAGCTGTATGAAAAATATAAATAGGTAGAGCACTTACTTGGGACCAGTACAGCCCATTGTCGTTCCAAGACCTCCATTGAGCTTTAGAACAACAAGCTTGTCAAGCAAAGCCTTGGTCGCCGCGGGATCTAAAACAAGATGATAAAATGAAAATAGCTACAAGCGATCATATGCTCACCAGAAGGCGCAGGCTCGAGATCTTCATAAGGAACAACGTCCTTATTGGTAGGAGGCTGGATTTTTTCCCACTTAATCTGCTCGCCTTTGTCACTGTATTCCAATGCTCGAGCTCAATGCGCTTGAAGCAAATCAAAAAATTCCATCCACAATACCTAAGGTATCGTTGCACAAGACTCACAAATCCCTTCTTCTCGCTCTCGCTGCGATCGAAGAATCCATGAGCGGCCGGGCGCCAGAGCTCACAAATCTCTCACCTGATCTGATCCAATGTCCCCAGCTCCATCCAGATCTTGTCAATGATCTTCGCCGGCGCTTCCGTAGCTGCCGCCATGGAATCAAGCTGCTATTCTAGAAATCGAGAGGTCGCGCATCAGAAAAACGGGCCACGCAAGAAAATATTTTTACTGACCGCTCAACAGCCCAAATGAGAAAGAGGAGCAAATCAAAGCAGCCCTCTTCTTTCTTTGTATAGCAAAAACTTTTTATAACCAGCCTAAAATTTAACGGGTTAGCGCCTTTAACCGGAATACTTAATGCAGCATCCAGCTTTGCGTGGATGCAAAGCCCAAACAGCGCCACGTGTAGCGAGCAAGGCTGTGCCACTTGGAGTGATAATAGCCCAATACAAATGTACACAGTTATTTACAAGGGAAGCTCCCAGGGCATATCCCTCCAGTAGGATATCCATTCTCTAGTTTTTGCGTCTCTGGAGTTCTAAGCGATGGTGAAAGCTCGGATCACTTCCACGATTGGAGCTCGGCACATCGGGCATTTGGAGCCACCATTCTTTAGTTGATTCGCACACCTCAAGCACGTACACATATGTCCACATCTGTGAGAGCCAGCCAATCTGTGAGAAGGAAAAAAGAGCCAACAAAAAAAAAGAGCTCGAAACTTTACTAACCTGTAAAGAAGTGAATCGATCGACTTATCACAGCAAATGCAGCAAGTTCCTTTCTTAACCGGTATCCATTGCGATCCATCGCTACTTCGCTCTGGTAGTCCTGAAAAGAGAGTGTTTTTCTACGTTGTGCTTCAGCTAGTCGAGCGTACCTTTACCAGCAGAGTACATGCGCTGGAGAGCACCAGCAACCTCCTGGCGGATCGAGCGTTGCAACTCCATTTGCATATCCACAATTGTCTCCACCATTCGCTGCAAGTCACCGAGGCCTTGCTGCAGATAGGAGATATCAGCTCGCAACTGGCTTGCGTTGTCCCAAACCTGGAATGGGAATGAAGCTTGGTTGGAAAACAAAGGGAGGAAAGAGAAGCAACGATAAGTTACCATGTATGACGAAGATGGACGAGGCCACTGGCCATGAACGAATTCCTGCTGCCAAAGCCTTTGTATTGGCAGGGGTGGAGGTGGTGGAGGGATCGTAGGACGCTGTTCGGGTCGCTCTGTTTGTGCCTCCGGTGCGACGTCATTCTGTGGTTGAGCAGCGGCGTTGTTGTTCTCAACCGGCCAGGGAACTTGCCTGTGGATGAAAGATCTGATGAGCTGATCCAGTCGCTCTCGAAACTCACTCGCCAGCACGTTTGTGACACTTCTCCTGTGAACAGAACATTGAAGCTGACTGACAACCACTCTAAGCAAATCGAAGAAAGCTCAAACCTTCCGAGTAGTTCCCGTAGTTCCACGTTATACGCGGTGGCCTCCTCCAACTCATTCATTCTTCGAGCGGCCGTCCATGTCCTGTCGTGTTCATCGGACGTTTCAGGACTGTCCTCGAGATTTGTAGCTTGAACACGAACGACTGACTCCAATCTTGAACGGAACCCCTCCCTGCTTTGGTCAAGTGTTAAGAAACATGCACTCACACGTTGAATTGGATCACCTTAGCCCGCTGACGGCTCGCCTCTGCCTGAGCTGGCCCAGTTCTCTTGCAGCTGATGATATATGACGTTCTTCTTCTTCATGTCTGCCGCCATTAGCCAGAAATCTGCCTCGCAATAGCGACTGGAGAGGACAAAAAAATGTTCAAAACAAACGCAGAAAATATAGAGATAATTTACTTACCTGAAGTCTCCCACGGTGAGGGAACCTCGAAACAACCCGATTCTCCGATAGCCCTTCGAGTTCTTGTTGCCTCTCCCTCTCTGTTCTTATAAGGAGGTCCAATATCAGTTGTCTATCACGACGACGTTGAGACTCCCAGCTTTCGTTGGTTGTAGTGTCATCCGTGCCTGAGACTTCTCTTGGTGCAGTAGGACGCAGCCACTCCCTTGCGAGCTGCCTCACTCTTTCTCTCTCGTTCAAATCGAGCAGCTCGTTTTGCTCTCGTCGCGACTGGTTGATCTGGTCGTCGGTGCCAACTCTCTCGTTCAGCCAACGATTCATAATTTGTCTCACGCTCTGGCGAGACGTGCCACCACCGTCGTCAGCTACCTGGCGTGTCTCGTCATCTCTAGAAGCTTCAAAGCTTCCAGGTATTTCGCCCACTCTGGAAGCTGGAGTTTGCTCCGCACCATCGTCGGGACTAGGAGTCTCGGCGGTAGTAGTAACAGTAGCAGTAGCGTCTTCTCTCTCAGCTTCACTGCTCGCCACCCTTCTCGAAACACCCCTTCCGACACTCCTTTCGTCTTCTAATCCCCTCCACATTTCCAACAAAGGCGATGGTCGACGCTGGTGATCGAGCCTCTCTCCTGACGAAGGTGGCGGAACCGAGTCTCTCAAAAACGAAGAGTCGAGCATCGACACTGCATGGAGCCCGGCAAGAGCTAGAAGCTCCGCTTGCCGGGCTTGCCGCTCCATAGTGGTGATGACGTTCTGTGCTTGTCTATCATACCACCGACGAAGAATCTGCGACGGCCTCCCCGTGAAATCATCGTCCACCCGTCCTTCCTGCGACTCGGCGTTGCTACCACTGTTTCTATTGCCCTCTTCTTCGTCAAACGAGCCACAGCCATCACACTGGAGCTGGAAATCCAAATCCTCGCGGTTTGAGTTGCTGGTGCTGCTCGACGCAAGCGCCATACAGTTATCGAAATGGTCACGCACCAATTCTTCCAATCCCCGCCGGAATTCCGCGTCCACGGATTGTTTGTCGGGAGCTTCTCCTCCTTCCTTTTGTTGCAACTGGATCATGGTTGCGATTTTCTCGTCCAAAGTGCTGCCTCTTCCGTCTTCAATCCCAGCAAGTCCCGGCATTTTCCCTCTTCTCACTGTGAATCAAACGAAGAGAAATCTTATCCCCTATCGGCGATAACCTAGCTAGCCAAAGCACTCACCTGGAATGCGAGGATCGATGACGAAGAGCGCGCTGAGCTAAAACCACTTGCGAAAGCTCCCACTGATCGCCATCAAGGGCGCGAATTGCTGGCGATTTCGCGAGTTCCAGCGCAGCGGCACAATTCGTGACGCATCCATCGCCGGGGTCCCCTGCCAGTGGCGCCGCAGCTCCGAATCATCGGCAGCAGCTCCATGGCCATCGATCGCTCGGCCGCGCCCTCTCTTCTCCGCATCCCACAAACACTCGCAAACCAATAAAAATAAAACCCAAATAGGTCTCGGGGTCGAGTCCAAAGGGCCACAAAAGCATCTTTGTGAATATTCACCGTCTTTGAATTTGCAAAACTGCCGGGAAAACGCGAAACGCATGAGAAGGGTATTTATTTTTCGTTCTTTACTTTCTTGAAATTTTGAAATGCTACATAGCTTTTTGTGTAGTAGTAGTAGAAAAATCTTCCAATCCTACGCATAGTTTTCCCTCTTGCCAATCCCAAAATGAAGACTGCTGCTATCTACATGAACGCTGTGATTGTGAAGAACCAAAAAGCGATGATCTCTCCCAAAAACCGTGAGAGGAAGAAAGGGCAACGATCGCTCCAAGAGAGAGAGCGATGATCTCTCCCAAACGAGAGTGAGAGAGCGAGACAACGGACGAAAAGAACCAGAACCAAAAAGAGAGGAGAAATTTCGAGAGGAATGAGCGAGATTGAGCGAGCGAGAGAGAGAAAGAGAAGGAGCTCTAGCTCTGATTTGGGCAATCGCGAGCGAAATGTCCCTGCTTCCCGCAAGAGTAGCACCCGGCTCTCGCGACGCTGCAATCCCTCGCCAGATGCCCCGGCTCGTTGCAATTGAAGCACCTGCCACCGCCATAGCCGAATCCTCCACCGATGCCGCCGCCGCGCGATACCATGCCCATCCCACGCCCGCGGCCTCTTGCGCCGCCCCTGCCGCCACGATTGTTATTGTAGCCGCCGGCGCTGTTGCTCACCGATCCATTGCCGCCGCCGGAGCCATCGTCTTCCCTTGCCGCCCCCTCCACGAACGCGCCTTTGGGACCAGTGACATTCCCAGCGCGCATCCGGCCGTCCTGGCCGAGCTCCACCACGTACTCGACGATCTCGCCCTCGCGCAGCGATCGGAATCCCTCGGCGTGGATGCTCGTCTGGTGGACGAAAATATCTGGCGAGCCGTCATCCGGGGTGATGAATCCAAACCCTCGCGTTGGACTGAACCATTTCACCTTGCCGAACATCAGATCCTCCACATTATCGGCCCCGGCCTCCGGATTATCCATCGCGGCCGCCTTGGCAGGCACGGGATTGCTGTTCTTGGATGGTTGCTGCTGCTGCTGCTGCTTTACGGGCGACGCCTTCGATCCGGCAGCGGCCGCCGATCCAGACGCCTTCTTGCCACCGTCCGCCATGGATCGCTCAACAACTTCGACCGATCGAAGCACGAGCTCTATCAAACCCTAATAAGCACCTCTAACGCTTATTCTGGCGATACCGGGCCACTAAAACTAGAGCCCACCGACGGCCACGATGGAGGCCCCCCACTGGCCAGCGGACGGCCGGATGACGCCTCTGCGTTGTGGCGCTAATTTAAGGCAATGCATGGCATAAATACCCACCCAATCACTCTTAAACCTCGTCCTTCCAGTCTAGCCATTTGTGGAGCACTCTTTGGAGCTCCTGTTTCGTACAGGGCTTCCGTACGTAGTCGTCCATGCCACACTCCAGACACTTTTCTAGCTCGCTTTCCATGGTGGCTGCCGTCAATGCGACGATTGGAGTGAGCTTCTGCTTCGATCGGATCAAGCGAGACGCCTGGAAGCCATCGAGAACCTGGAAAGTTTCACCAAGATACAGTCTGAGTTTCTTAAAAGAAGCAACAAGAACTTCTTATCCATACCGGCATATGGCAGTCCATGAAGATGAGATCATACTCGACTGGCTTGTCCACGATCGACACTGCCTCCTGGCCATTGCAAGCGACGTCGACGGTGCAGCCGAGATTGTTGAGCAGCCGGATCGCCACCATTTGGTTCACCTTGTTGTCTTCCTAAAAGTTTCGCGAGAAATGTAGAAAGTAAACGATCATTGTCTGTGGAGTTGAGCGAAAAAAACTTACGACAACAAGGACTTTGGGGTGTCTTCTGGTTTGAGCCTTGTCCCCGGCCTTGGATCTGTTACTGCTCGCCAACGCAGGCCCTGGAGAAGAAGACTTTGCTTGTGAGAATATCAAGAGAACAAGGAAGTTACGTGAGGCTTCTTCGAAGCTTTTAAAGCCGAGAAGATTAAAGGTCTTGAGGAGTGCATCTTTGAGCGTCGACTGTCGCAGCGGCCTGCTGAGGGTACAGCTGAATCCATACGCCTCTTGAGCATTTACCCGGTGTCCTACGGGCTTGAGAAGTATAAACTTCGTGCCTGGAAACTCCTCCGCGATTCTTTTGATCTGGAGTTTCTTTTGAAACGTCTCGACGAGGACGTTATCAACCACAGCAACTGGAAAAATTCAGAAAATTCAGAAACAAAGAAACACCTTCAAGAAGCTTTGGTAGTACCATGGAATCGATTCGCAAGCAGTTTGAGCGCACTGGCAACATCTCCGGAACACTGGCATTCAATCCCCCAGCTCTCAATCTGCTCACACATGACTTGCCTGGTGATCTTGTGATTGTCGATGACCAGAATTCTAGGCCGTGCTTGGAATCTGCTACTATAAAGAAGTGGAACTTGATGCCGGTTCTTCTCAGAGACAACATCAATCTCCAAAGGTATACTAAAAGAGAAAGTCGATCCAACACCTTCACGACTTTCCACAACAATCTCACCACCCATGAGGTCGACCTGTGTACGGTTGAAGCCGGATTGAATACGGACAACATTGAGAAACTTTGCATACCAGGCTCTTTGACACGGCCAGGCCCAAGCCCGTCCCACCATACATGCTGCTCGTCAGCTGATCACACTGAGAAAACTTCTCAAACAACAGCCCCAGCTTGTCCTCGGCGATTCTGGAAATTGTTTCTGTCAGCTTTTAAATGATACGGTCCAAAGACCTCACCCGATGCCAGAATCAGATATTGAAAACTTGAAGTATTCCACCGGCTTGACATGTTTTGCATCGCTGTCAAGTTCACGTCCCTGCTACTACACACGATCTCAAGCTTTTTACTTCGAAAAGAAACGTTACTGAGAAAGAAATCCACCTTAAAGGAGTTAACATCCTTGCTGCAACTCCGACATTCCCAGAAATCCGTGGCCTTGAGTTGCTTCTGGCAACTCTTACACAGCAAACTCACATTAACGAGAATGTGTCCCGCGTGCGTGAACTTACAAGAATTTCCGATGAGGTTTATAAGAACCTGTAGAAGAAACAAAAATAAGTACAAAATATAAAGAAAGAAAAACTCTACCTGACGCAATCGTATTGTGTCCACTGAGACGGCAAAGAAAGGAGAGTCATAATGGACTACGAGCTCCACCCCCTTGGGTTCCACACGAAGTGCCAACATGCTTCCAACATCTTCTACAAGACTGCGAAGGTTGCACGGGACTGGCGCAATTGTCAGCTTCCCAGCATCGATTTTCGAGAAGTCCAGAATGTCGTTTATTATCGAAAGTAAACACTCCCCGGAAGTTCTAATGGTTTCCAGGCATTCTTCCTGATCCGGAGTTGGATCAGTGTCGAGTAGAACAGAGGCCATCCCTATCACACCATTGAGCGGCGTACGGATTTCGTGGCTCATCACCTGAAAGAAAAGAAAAGAAACACTTTCAAACACTCGCATGGAAATATGAACTTACAGCTAAAAATTCTGATCTGGCTTTGGCAGCAGATTCCGCCTTGTCTCGAGCTTCGGCCAGATTTGCTATTAGCCTCTCCTGCTCCTCTTCCCATCGGATTCTTTCCGTGATGTCACTTAATGAGCCAGCCATTCGAAGTGGATTTCCTTGTTCATCCCAAAGCGCTTGACCTCTCAACCGAAACCAGCAGTACTTGTCTTGGCTCGTTCTAATCGGTGTCTCGATGTGAAAAGGGGACCCAACTGTTTTGTGAGCGGCTAAATAGTCTTTGAGCGCGGTCTGGACACAATCTACAAAGAAAAACAATGAAACATCGGGAAGAAGAAAACAAAAAGACCAACCTCGATAGCTTGAATGAAGCCTGTTTATAAGCACATCAAGCGTGTCTGCACTTTCACAACTCTGCTCGATACCAAGCATGTTCTTGCAACGCGCTGAGTAGAACACCTTGTTGGTTCTGATGTCCCAATCCCACAAGCCATCGTTAGAACCACGAACAGCAAGAGCAAAGCGCTCCTCACTCAATCTTAACGATTCTTCAGCCTCCTTTCGCCATGTAATGTCTTCGATGATTCCTACATGGCTACACCCGATGAAACTCGAGTTAAGTAAACGTATCAATCCATCAGAAAAACAAGGAAGACAACCAAAATTTCTACACACCTTTCGTTCTCAAAACAACCTGGCATGTCCACTGATTGGCAATTCACCCATCTCCAGCTACCATTTTTGTGTATCAGCCTGAACTCGACATTCAATCCTCCCTCCCGCAGTGTGATTGCTTGATCCCAAACTTCCTGAATTTCCATTTTCAAAACGAAGGACGGAAAAGGAAAAAAAAACGAGAGAAAACCCACACCTGAAGATCTTCTGGATGAACGTGTTCGACCCATCTCAGACCAAGCAACTCCTCTTGGGAGCATCCTGTCATGTTTTGGTAGGCAGCGTTTGTGAAAGTGTTGTGTGCATCTGTGCTGCAGATAAAAACCCCTCTGGGAACATTAGTCTTTGGCCCTCTGGCCATGAAGTTCACCACTGGCCCTTCTCTGGTCACTACAACGCCACTATTTTATGCTGCAACCCGCGTGACTCTGCAAGATAAGAAATTATGAACTGGCTTGCAGCTGCCAAAAAATTGACTAAGGGATGAAGTCCAAGCACAACACTCACTGGAAAGGCGAAAAAAACAACACAACACACTTGTGTATGAGCACCGCAGACGTAAAGCTAAAAGAGTCAAAAACTACCAGCCTAGCTCTCATGCACACATACACGATTCAACTCAAGGCTCTATCCTTTGCCAAAGAAAATATAAAAAAACACAGGAAGCACAGGAAACATCGAAACGAGAGGCGGAACAACTTGCCGAAAGCTTCCCATCCATGCAACAAGGCCACTGTCGTGATCTAGAGCGAGCTCACGTGAGTGACTGTGTAAAGCCCCATTCCCGCTATTTAGGCACAGTTTCTCCAGCTGAACAAAGGCAACAGTTTAGAGAAAAGCATCCAAAGTTCATCCACGGAGAAATTGCTCACCTACATTTTCTTCGCCGCATTTTTTTCCCATGTTTTTCTTTCAGCTCTCGGCGCAGAAACTGCGTGTTCCAGCGACAAGTGGATGCGTCGTTCTCTGTATCAACCCGTGTTGACTTGCACAGCCGAAGTACTAGCACCTGAAAACGATGGAGCAAGAAAGAAAAAAAATCTCTCAGTGGCTCCATAAACACCACACATTAAAAATCACGTACACAAACTAGAGGAAAAAAGTCCCTTCCTTGCGCTTGCGCCGGTGCCGATAGGATGATCCATCATCCGGGCTTTCCGTGGGCCCGAAAGACAATGCTTGGACAAGAAATAGAGATAAAGCCTCAAACCACTCGCGATCATATGATCCCTACGAAGAAAAGCCTCAAACCTCTCGCAATCGTATGATCCCTACGAAGGAGAAAATCTTACCCCGCGAGAAAATTCCTCTCCTTCGTTGCGCGTCCCTACCAGATCCATTCTAGGGTTTATGCCCACTCCCGCCCAAATCAACCGGTCGAGCGCTCGAATCCCAGCACAAACTTGTGCACAACCAGTTTCGTGTTCGACTCCTGGGAACTCGAAATTCCACTTCAGATTTTAGGGTTCCAGCGAAACCCTTGGCGCTTCCTTCCCCGCGCGGAGGTGAGGGGGATTATCAATCCATCCAGCAATGCGGCGGCAGCTATAGCATTCGAGATCTCTAGGATGGGGCGGCCGCTCGTCTACGACATCATCGACAGGCCTGCTAGCAGCTGCCTGATCGCGCTGTGCAGCGCGGTGTGGCTCTACATCCAGCACCGGAGCATCGGCTACGCGGAGGTTGGGATGAGCTACGAGACGGTGGTGCTCCAGGGGCAGTACTGGCGGATCCTCACCTCCTCCTTCTCGCACATAAGCTTCCTCCACCTCGTCTTCAACATGAGCGCACTGTGGAGCCTGGGCATGGTGGAGGGCCTCAAGGGGATCGGCCTGGGGATCACCTTCTACGTCCACTACACGCTCCTTCTCGTGCTTCTCTCGGCGGCGCTCGTCCTGGGGATCTACCACTTCCTCGTCCATCGCTTCAATCTGGAGCTCTACAAGCGTGTCTCGGCGGTGGGGTACTCGTGCGTGGTTTTCGGCTGGATGACGATCCTGGCGTCCAAGCAGCCATCGTCCAAGCTCGAGCTCTTCGGCCTCCTCTCGCTCCCCATCAACTTTGCGCCATTCGAGTCGCTGGTTTTCACGTCCATCATCGTCCCCAAGGCCAGCTTCCTGGGACACCTCGCCGGGATCATCGTCGGCTACTTGATCGCGTGGGGGTCGATCCAGGGGATGACGAACTACTGGTTTGTATCGCTGCTGGCGTGGATGGTCTTGCTGCTCGGGCTCAGCATCCACAGGACGTCGTCGTATCAGTTTTGGTTCCTCCAGATCGAGCCCGTCGCAGATCCCAGCGTCCCGCAGCTCTCCAACTCTCCCACGCTGCTGCAAAGCTCTTCGTTTGCTACTGCTCCACCGGTTTTTGGAAGCCAACTCGTTTGATTCAGATGGAAACGAAGTAGAGTTGAGAGGTACACTACCAGACTCTTCTCTCATCGTTTCATACTTGCTCTCGCTTCCATTAGGCTCTTTGTTTCGCTCGATTGTTTACCTGAGGCTCTGCGACTGCGTCCAAGTGCATTGTCTTCGGTTCTCCACGTTTCAAAGAATGGTAACTTCTTGTTGTCGTTCTGCTTTTGCTTTTTGTTCTTTCTCGTTGTGTGTAAACTTCTTATGGTGCAGGGGCTCAAGATGGAGGTGATTCCACTCGCTCACAAAGCCATTGAAATTTCTTGGAGATAGAACAGAAAAAGCGTCGTTTTTTAAAATTCTTTTCGAGCGAGATTTACAGTGTCTGCGCATTTGAGAGAGAAAAAAATTAGGCTTGTCTGAACCCAGGTCCGAACTGGGGATCTTTAGTGTGTGAGACTAGCATGATGACCAACTACACCATCCTGGAGGTAGTGTACAAATTTCTGTGGAGCTCTAAGAGAATATATTTGTGAAAATCTGTATATACTTAATAGAATATATTTAACAGACCAAATAAAATATATGTTTTATTATTAAAGATCTGGGAATTTTTGGGTATAATGTTTCTTCATGTGGCATTATTATGGATTTTACTAAAGTTTTCACCCTTTTTGAATGTTATATTTAATTTTTATTTATGATGTTTAATATTTCTTTTCTTTTATGAATTTATGTTGACATTTCATTTGAGACTTCTCCAAAATTGTTCTGTGAGGGCCAAGTGTATGGCTACGATGCCATATACTAATATTAGCATAGTGGGATTTTGGTAGCCGTCGAATTGGTTTCAATCTGGACCACTCGCTCCTGTATATAAGCTAAGGTTTTTGGGTTAATTAATATGCACATTTTTATATTCCCTTTCCATATTCCATGCACTCACATTGGTGGAGATGAGGGGCACTTTTGATTGTCTTTGGGAAGTGTTTAGATTTGGGATTTCGGTTTAGATCTAACTTTTGCATCGTCTAGATCCAACCTTTTCCATTTCCTTTTTCTTGTTCTTTCCTTTTAGGATTTTGGTTTAAATCTAGTTTTTTGCATTGTCTAAATCTACCATTTCCTTCCAGCTTTTTGTCATTTCTTTTCTTTTGCTCTTTCTTTTTCGTTCATCTTCATGGCAGATCAGCAATCTCCTCCTTTCACTCTGGAGCAGCAGTTAGTTCAATTACTTGATGCTATGCGCTTGCAATTGAACAACCAAACTCAATTGATGGTAACATTCACGGCACGTGGTCTAACTCCTGCTCTTGGTGCCAATCCTTGCGTTCGGCCGAAGTTCTTTCGTATGAATCCTGGGGATGATGTGTACCATTGGTTCGATCACTTCACGGTGATTGCCACATATCATTCTTGGGATGATATTCGACGTTTGCGTGAGTTCCCCACATGTCTCCAAGGGACGGTGTTGCAGTGGTACAATAGATTGAGCATAGCCACTCGTGGCAATTGGAGTGTTCTTCCGGATGTCTTCAAACGCACCTTTGGACATGTCGACGATTGTGATGATGCCTTCCAACAATTGCATCGTCTTCGCCAAGGGCCATCTGAGTTGGTGATGCAATTTGGTGTTCATTTTTGAAGTCTTTTGCTTTGTGCGGAGTCCAATATGTTGGAGCAGATCAAGCTAGGAATGTTGTGGCCAACACTTCGTCAAGATCTTGTCAGACTTGTGCATGCACTTGCTCCTGCCACCCTTGATGATGCTCTTCGCTTGGCACAACGTTATGAGACGTCGCCTCTTCCACTTCTCGTTACACGTCCTTCAGCTCCACTTTCTATGAGTGATGGTCCTGTTCCAATGGAGGTTGATGCTGCTACTACTCGAGTCCAAGGACAAGAGTGAGGACATGGTCGTGGCCGTGATGTTTATTACTGGGCGTGTGATGAAGTTAGTCATACTTATCGGTGTTGTCGGCGCTTTCCAGATTGGCGACCTCCATTTCCTGGGTGGAGACCTTGGCGTCAGCAACATCCCGTTGGTGCTGCTGCGGTGGAAGGTTTGAATACCAAGGTGCATCTGGGAAACGAGGAGTCACGCGAGTAACGGAGGGACCTTGCACGAATAAGTTAGTGACCCCTCCATCTTTCTTTCGGGAGTATCATCAAGGGGATCACTCGGCACCGGTTCATCCAATGTTTACTTTCCAAGCTCATTTTTATAACAAAAGGTCTCCTATTCTTCTCTCCATGTTGGTTGATACAGGTTCGAGTTTATCTTCTATTGCTCGACCTGTTGCCACACGTTGTCGTCTACACTTGTGTTGTGCGGCGGATCAAATTTTCATTCTTTATGGCAATGGTCGTACACATGCATGTGCATGAGATGAGGCGGACTTGGTTGTGCATGTGGGTGATCTCGAGCTTGAGTTGCAATCGTTGCAGGTGGTGCCAAGTCAAGTTTTTGACCTCATTCTTGATATAGATTGGTTGCAGTGCAATCATGCCAAGTGTGACTTTGAGACTTCTCCCCCTTGTCTCATATTTCTTTATGTTTCATCCATTCCTCTCACTTCCGTACCTCTTCGTCCCTCTACTTCTACCTTTGTTTCCATTACTTTTGTTCCCCCATTATTTCCTCTTGTGTTTCCATCTTGTTCTGCTTTTCCCTTTTCCGATCCCTCCGATGATCTTTGTGTTGTAGTTGTTGACCAACTCATGAAGGAGTATTCTGATCTCTTTGAATTTGATCTATCGTCTGGGGCCAAGATTGCTACACGTCATCCCATTCCAACCGGGGATACTCTTCCAATCAAGGTTCCTGTTCGTCGTCGGTCACCCAAGGAGATCAAAATTTACATGCAAACATCAAGGAGATATTGGAGAAGGGTGTTATTCGAAAGTCATGGAGTCCTTGGGCATGTGAACCTCATCTTGTGACGAAGCCTGATGGGAGTATTCGTTTCTGCATCAACTATTATCCGTTAAATGAAGTGACGATCCCAGATGTGTACCCTCTTCCTCATGCTGATCTCTTGGATCGTCTGGGGCGAAGTCGTTAGTTCACCAAGCTAGATCTTGCTTCTGGGTACTGGCAAGTACTGATGGCTAACGAAGATATTCCTAAGACTGCTTTTCGTACACCGTTTGATTTGTACGAGTTCTTGGTGATGCCGTTTGGTTTGAACAATGCTCCAGCAACTTTCCAACGGATGATGGACGAGATTCTTTGTGATATGCCAGAGGTGACTGCTGACTTCATTGATGATGTCTTGATTCACTCGGAGGGGACGTGGGCAAAGCACATTCGTGATGTGTGTAAAATGTTGGATCGGCTACGGGATGTTGGTTTAAAGCTGAAGCAGTCAAAGTGCATGTTTAGGTCCAAGGACACAACTTATCCTGGGTACCGTATTTCTTGTAAGGGTTTGCAAGTTAATCCTGACAAACTTGTAGCCGTTCTAAAGTTCCCTACTCCGAAGTGTGTGAATGATGTGCAGCACTTCCTAGGCAAGGTGCAGTATCTCGGTCGTTTTGTGGATCATCTTTCTGATCGCACTGCACCGTTGCGAGCGTTGTTGAAGTCATCAACGTCATCTTTTATTTGGTCTTCAGATTGTGAGCGGGCGTTTGTGGATCTCAAAGAGCTGTTGACGACTCCTCCGGTTTTGGCATATCCTGACTACACTCGACCTTTTATTTTGCGTTGATGCTTCTAATATTGGTCTTGGAGGTGTGTTAATGCAAGAAAGCCCAAGTGTACCTGGTCAGCATCATCCCATTGCATATATAAGCCGTATGTTACAACTAGCAGAGGTGAACTACTCCACGACAGAGAAGGAGTGTTTAGCGGCAGTTTGGGGTTTTGAGAAACTTCATGCATATCTACATGGTTCTTGAACATTACTTGAAGGTGACCATGCTGCCGTTATTTCATTATTGAAGCGGAAGAACCTGGTTGGTCGTACTTCTCGGTGGGCTTTAAAGCTTCAGATATATGATTTTGATGTTGTTTATCGCCCAGGGAGTTCTATGGCTGATGCTAATGCCCTTTCTTGAACTCCTCTTCCTTTTCCACTCTCTTCTCATGTTTCTGATGAGCCTATTGTTCCAGCATCTGTGGATTTTTTAGACGAGGATTCTGTGCCGTCGGCGGTTGCTGTACTTGATGTTCAGTGTCCACTGTCAAGACCCCCAACAAGATCAAGACTGGAAAATGCAAAAGACAAAGAGAAAAACTAGTGGAAACAAAGAACAGGCCTTAGACTGGCGTTGATTCAAATTATGGAAAAATGGAACAAGGCTAACCTATATATAGTATAGGTTGATGAAGCTCCACCACTCTTGGATTGAGGACGGCCTAAATATAGCTGAGGTCGAGGAGGCGCCACATCAATATTAGGAATGTGGCTCGAGACTCAGAAATCGTACAGAAAATCAGAGAGTCAGGAATAGGGAAGTGTCTCGAGAGTCAGGAATAGGGAAGTGTCTCGAGAATCAGGAATAGGGAAGTGTCTCGAGAATCAAGAATAGGGAAGTGTCTCGAGAATTAGGAATGTGGTCTGCAGGTTAGGAATCCGGCGAGAGTCAGGAATGTGGCAAGAATTGGGGGATTCCTGACAGCACCCGCTCCTCAAGAATGAGTGGAATGAGGATGTGCATAAGAACGATGAGGAGGATGAGATGAGCAGCGAGGGATGGGAGATGGAGAAAAAGAATGAGGACTGGGACGAGAAGGATAGCGGCGGTGAAAGTCCTGAATGAGGTCAGGAGAATGAATCAGGTTGTCCGCAGGTTCCCAAATGCGTTCTTCAGATCCGTAACCCTTCCAGTCGACCAGATAGTAGAGTTTAGACCGTGAAATCTTGGAATGAAGGATGTCCTGAACCTCGTACTCAGACCCATCCTCGAGCTGCATTGGTGGAGGTGAAGGAATGACCCGATTGGGAATAGGACTGGGAATATAAGGCTCAAGGAGAGAGGAGTGAAAAACGGGGTGAATTTGATATGAGGAGGGAAGTGCAAGGCGATAAGTGACAAGATTAATGATGGCAGTGATAGGGAAAGGACCGAGGCGTTTGAAATCAAGTTTTGGACAGGGTCTGGTGGTGGAGATATTTCGCCTGAGGAGCCAGACGTTATCCCCGATATTGTAAGGGGGACAATCCTGATGATGGACATTGGCAAATGTTTTGTGAGATTCCTGAGCACGATAGAGGTGGAAGGAGATGGAGTTGTGGATTTCCTGGAGGTTGGAGACAAATGCCTCAGAGCGGGGATTTGAATGAGAGGATTCGGATGGAGAAGGAAGTGAGAGATTGAATCGGGGATTTCGGCCAGAGTTTGCAAGGAAGGGGGAAATTCGAAGAAAGGAGTGAACAGAGTTATTATAAGAGAACTCAGCAAGGGGAAGGATATCGAACTAGTTATCCTGATGATAGTTGATAAAGCACTTCAAGAATTGTTCCAAAGTCTGAATCGTTCGCTTGGACTGCCCATTAGTTTGAGGATGATATGCCGAAGAGAGGTTGGCCTT